CGTGCTCATGGCGCCTCCAATCGTACCCTCCACCTAAACCATTTGAATTTGCAGCCGCCCGGCTAACGCCCATCACGGTATATTGAAGGATCTCATCTGATCAGCTTCGCCTTGTCCCCTGCTCTGCTTGCGTTTCATGTGTATAGTGGATTTGGGTGTTGCTAGCACACGACCTAATGTTCCCCTTATCACCCGGTTGGCGCTGCCATTTTCCCAGGCGCGCTGGTCGGGGCGCTGCACGGAACTCGATGGTTGCCGACTCGATGGTACGACAATTTAGAGAATGGAGCCTCCGGGCGCGACGAGGTCCTGCAGTTGGCCATCAAGCTAGCGGAGTACGATATACGTACCTGAGCGAGGGCACCGAAATGCCATTTTGCACTGCCGAGTACGCAGTACGCACTTAAACAAAGGAGTCAAGAGTGACGTTGCCACTGCAACGAATGAAGGGCAGACGTGTCAGCGTCTGTGTGAGGAAAACATTATCATTGTTTTCATAATTCCTAGGTTTCGGTTTTTCCAGCTACCATCGAGGACATTCAAATCCGCGCTTGCCTCAATTCCGTGCCGTCTCAAGGTTCTTTCCCCAAGTGCTGCTGCTGACTGCCGATCACTATCGTGGACTGGTGGGATAAGTGTAATTTCGGGCAGGGTGGACAAACCCGGGAGAAGCGCTCGGAACTTGTGTCCCATAGGCTGTTTCAGCCACGAACATGGATGCACGAAACCTGTTTTCCCGATCCGAGAAGATCGCCGGTGCAATTTTTCTCGTCCCTTCCGTTGGGAGAGGAGTTGCGCCCCGCCCACATTTGTCTGTGTATCGTGCAGCGCGCAACTGCACAGCACGCGCCACAGTCTGCATGAAGCCCTTTACAGCCAGTACGCAGCTTGCCTAAGCAACGAGCCCAAGGCAGTCACCGCTTCTGACCAGATGGTGGAGGCATAGATGCTAGGAAATTCCATGTGGCCGAGCGGAGCCCTCATCAGGAGCACTGGCAAGGGATCGACCGGCTCCCTTACCTGGTATTACGCTGCGAGCAGCAAGAATAAGCTACTTCAAGCTGTAGCTTAATGCAGCCGGCACAGTGCAAGTTTTTCGCAGTACTTAACACCACGCAGCCCACTAAGCATCCTTATCTCTTCGTTGTGGATCAACGACACGTGGTAGTAAAGGAAACGGATTGAAGCGAAAAGCCCCAAGATAGATAGGATCACCAGCTCCACCCACATTAGCAGCCAACCGACGGAAAGTCAATAGAAAGTCATCGCATCCAGTTATCCCTTCACGCTTCTGGTGCCGTCTTGACCAAACCCACCGCTTTCGCTGCAGCTGTATCAGCGGTCGCACGAGGCAACGTACGACCACAACGTCATTTATCACCGGTGTAACGACACACGCCGTTAGGCCTCATCTAATAAATATTGCATAACTCTGCATCCCGTCACGCGCGCCAGCAGCCCTGATCGCGAAGCAGCATAGGCACAACGGACCCACGCTTTCACAAACAACCAAACTCCGACCAGATCACACGACACGGTTGAGGGATCACATCTTGGTGGGGATGCGCTCCCCGAGTCGAGACGGGCCGGGCGCGAATGGCGCAGCATTACTGTCCTGAATTTCCCTATCCTTACATGCAAGTGCTGAATACACGATTCCTCGCCCACTGCAATCGTGCCGTTGGCCGCAGGCTATAGCATAGATAAGGACATCACTGTACGTATGTAAAGGACACCCCGCTCAACACTCACCAGCTCACCTTTAGAAATTATAATTAGCTCTAAAAGCCATCTGACGTTCCGATCAAGAGTGTGGGGGCCCCGCTCAGGCTGTCAGCAAAACCCACCGAAACGCAGGCTGCAAAAATCAAGGTTATTGTTTCGCTCACCCCTTCCCCAAATTCCCATACAAAACTAAACAGAACTCTGGCCTCACGAAGGTGGGCCTCCATGCGTCCGCAGTGGGTCCGTGGCCTTCCCAGCCGGTGGCGCCATCAAGCCTCCAGCCGCGGCGGCCGCGGCCCCTGCCCCCGACCCCACGTTGCCGCCCGCCCTCGCTGCGACTGCCGCTGACACCATCCCGCTGCCGCTGCCCGCGCTGTTTCCGTTGGCTGGCATGGAGCTAAAGGAGCCAGGGTGCTTTCCTGCCAGCAGCGAGGAGGTCTCGCGCTCCGTCGCTCCGGCGCTGTGTCGCGAACTTTCCAGCTGCTCCTTGATGGCGGCCAGCCGCTCCTGGGTACGAGCTTGCCGCAGCACGTCCAGCTTGCGAAGGCCCCTGGTGAGTGGACGGAAGGAAGGAAAAGGAGAGCCAGGAAACCCAGATGTTACCCGCACGCAAACGCAGAGCAAAGGATTGTTTACGGGTGAAGATGATGAAACCGGTAAACCGCGGCAAGGCACGAGCGCTCTAGAGTGGGTGCACGGAAGCGAGCGAACCGGAGTGAAGGGATTAAGCACGGAAAAGAAGGGATTAAGCAGCCCCCCGCAGCTGAGCCTGCTGAGGAGCCGCCAATCCTTCACCTCCTTAATTTCAAGCCCTCCGCCCCCACCAAAAGGCGCCGCACGTCCCCTCCGTACACTCTCCTCCGCACACGCTCATCACCACTTTTCCCCTCAGCTCTCTGGACGTATATCCACCTGAGAAGCTCCGGGTAGTGTTCACACAGGTCCTTGATGTCCTCCTCAGGGATGCGCAGCATGTCACAGGGGGTCTTGCAAAAGACGTTCTCACGCCGCTTCACCTTGCCGCTTTCCTGGTTGAACAGCTGCCGCAGCACGGAGCCCTCACCGAAAATGGTGCCTTCCGGGATGCTGTACAGCAGGGCGCTTGGCTCCGCGAGCACCTGCAGCTCGCCCTGTGGGACCAGATGTGTAGATGGAGGGTTGGAGGATTTAGGTTGAGCGCATGGACGCTCCTCGACGGCGACGAGGAAGACGAGGGAGGGGTACCCTTGCGCGGGCAGATATGGGTCGGTAACGGCGGCATTAACAAACGCCTTTGACAGCCTCTTTGCTGCCTCTAGGCGTTTCAGGATTCCCTTTTCAATGGCTAAAGCCCTCTAAACCAAATGCTCTTGTACCTCAACCCATGGGCGTGGGCGTGGGCAAACACCAACCCCATGGATGAAAGTAGGTGTCCATCCCGTCCATAGAGCAGTCTATGCCATGGTACCCTTTCCAGATCCCATTACTTCAAGCCCCGAACTCCCAGCTCTCTGCTCTACCACCCTCACCTGTAATAGGATGTACACGTCCGCGCCGTTCTCTCCGCGCATGTACACAAACGTGTCTGCGGAAAAGTGCGTAGGCTGCAGCCGCACGCACAAGTCGGTGAGGAAGACGTCGTCCTCAGCCATGGACTGCAGCAGCGGCACTCTAGCCACTGTCGGCAAGTACAGGTGGCGCAGGATCTTGGCTCGTAGCTCGAACGGCAGCCTCGACAGCACCGCTTGCCGGTCGTAGGCGCGGACCTTCTGCTTCTTATTATACTCCAGCACCCTTCAACACACCAGGGTGAAAGATAGAGGATGTGAAGAAGGAAGGGCGGCAGAAAAAAACAGCACTGCACCAGGATGATAAAGCGATTACCCAAATTGAGAAACACGGCCCTGTGCAGGAGGTCGGCGAAGGCTGGTGGAGTGCCAACTCCCGCACCCCACGCGGCATCCCAGCTCCGCTGCATCGCTCGTGAGTACGTCCTTCCCTCAACCCCGCCCCACCAAACGGCTGTGAAACCCGGAGAACTGCCCCGCGCCACCCGTTAGCGTATGTATGTCAGTATGTACCCACTTGCGGGCCAGCGGCCTGGGCAGCTCCACGTCCTTCATGAACGCGGAGAGCTCGTGTAGCTGCTCACCCCGCGCCACCTTGTCTGCGTCCAGGCGACTGACAATTGATGCCATCCGGCCAAAGCAGAACGACAAGAAGAAGCCGCCGATGACCATGGTAATCATGCACCACACCTGCAAAGGTCCCCAGCCGGAACGGCAGCATTTTCGATAGTGGCGGTCGTAGTGGTGGTAGTAGTAGTGGCGGTGGTGGTTGTAGCAAATGGTAAGCGATGTTGACAATATCGTGTAAAACTGCATTGGTAATAATAACTGTGAAAGTCACGGGAGCGGTAGTAGCATCCAAACCCCGGTTCCAAAACCTCGGGTCCATGCTTACCTTCTCGGCGATGGTCGTCCCGTAGATGTCTCCATAGCCTACAGTCGTCATGGTGGTATATGCCCAGTACATGGCCGTAATGTACCTGCCAGGATTCGACGTCAGGACTTTTGACATTTTTTCATTTGGCAGGGATGCAGCGGTTTAATGTCTCAATGGTATTCAAACATGTCCAGTCATCGTCCGAGTCATCTACCGGGCTACCGCTCCTGTTCTGCCTAAGCGCACATGCGCAGCTTTCCCCTTCCCGTATAGGCCACCCCACGCCCGGCAGCCAGGCAACGCTGCGCCCCAGCATTCGCTTCCCATCGATCGCTTATCATCAGTCCGCACCGATCACCAAAGTTCCACACCCATACCAGCGCTACGCAGCAGCACCGAGGATCTGTCCGTACAGTCCATACCTTACCTGTATGGGAAGCCAAAGTCGCTCTTGCAACGCAGCGGCAGCGACTCGCACTTGGGGCACTGCACGAGAGTGAAGTACTCGGGGCAGGTGTACCACTGGCTGCTGGAGGGGTCTTGGAGGCTGTTCTGCTGAGTGGGGTCGGGCTGGGCCGCGCTGGCAGTGGGCATCATTACTGTATAGTACCCGCCCATCTTGTCAAAGACCCAGGTGGATAGCTCGCCCCCGTTAATCAACAACTTCTCCTCTGCGAACAAAAAATACCGACATCCTTCTTCAATACTTTTTCGGATAATCTGATAACTATTCAGGCCAAAATCCCGGAAGGGGAATACGCAAGGTAAAATGATTAGCATTGGCACCGGCGAATGGAGAAAATAGAACTGGGAGTGTGCGTGACACAAAGCCGCAGTTGGTCAACCGAGAGGTCAACTAGCAACCCCGAATGCCAAAAAGGACATCAGACCTCGAAAGTCATGAAGTCATAAGTCAGGAAACGGACACCGCCGCTGCTGCATGCTTACCGTTTGTCCACCATTGTGGCCCGGAGAACAGGTAGAAGAAGCAGCCCGACAAGTGTCCTAGGTAGACGAGCACGATGAGCAGCTCCAATATGGACAGCACCCACCGAGCAGCATAAAACTCGTCCTAACACGGGAGACGCGGAGGACGGGCGATGGATACCAGCAGGGCAGGAAAGGGAAGGACCAGGAGGGTAGAGGGGGATTGTAGCTCTTGAAATGGGAAGAGAGAATCACACGGCAATGCTGCAGCTCTGAATGCATGGAACATCAGTCACCAGATGTAAGGGCTGGGAAGGTGTAGGCGAGCGGGAGAGGAATTTGGCACGTGCGAAGGTCCATTTATGTGTTTTAACGGCCTCGTAACGGCCTCGTTCCAGCATGACACTGCTTAACGCTGCGGAGCTGTTTCCTCTCCCCCGTCCCCCGTTTCCCTCCACCTGCCGGGGCCGCTTGCGATTGGGTTCGTGCGGTTCGTCCCTCCAAGAACCCCCGCCCCGCACCCTACATGGCCAGGCTGACCTGCAGGCGACCAAGCACTGTGCTGATGGACAGCACGTTAAAGTTCTTGAAAATCCAGAGGATGCGGAAGAATCTAAGCAACCGGAGCATTACAACTAGGCTGGCGGCCGAGTCGCTAGGCACCACCAGGTCGCAATTGTTCATGATGCTGCAAGTCCAGGTGCCCTGGAGGAAGGGGCCGGGGAGGGAACGAGAGGGACTTACATGCCGGACGCGAGGGTCCAACTGCCGACAGGACGGAGCAGGACAAAGAAGGGAGACAGGGAAGGAAATGTAGGGGGAATGGAAGGCGAAAGCAGAGGACGGAAGCCAGCTGAAAGCCAGATATGAATGCAACAGGGTGCAGGCACACGAAGGAGTCCAACAGTTAGTGGGCGATGTTCATGAAAGCTCCATCTCTGATCTCTATGGCATCGAAAGCCCTCGGCAATAATGGCTCAACGATTAAGGAGACAGCGCATCTTCCCTGGATAGGGTCACCGTGTGCGCGGCACAACCCCCAGCAGCGTCCCATGTGCCCCTTTCCTTTTCACATCCTTTTCATAAAAGCGGACCACAAGTGCGTCACTCACCTCGATACCACGCACCACGTAGTCGGAGGGAAAGGTGGCCAGCAGGTCGATGACAAACCAGGTTTTCAGATAGCGCACGGCAATCTTTCGATGGTTAGTAATCAGCTCGCCGGTCACCGGATGCTGCACACGGATAGATATTCGGGCCAGAGGCGCGGCAGATAGAGGAGTTAGAAATGCTGTGACAAAATGCCGATGTGGAACACGGTGAGGGTCCAAGTTCATGCGACCCCATCACTCAGATTCTGAGCAATCGGTATTCGGTATTCACCGAGGTCCATCACTCCATCCGTCTGAGGAGGTAGCCGTACTGGCAGCCTGTGCCGCGGGCCTCCAACGGGGCCGTATCCATGCGTCCAACATTGGTAACACCGTGGCAGCAATACATCGATCACGTGTAACGTAACGCAAGGTACTGTGCTTGCGAGGCAGCGACATGGAACCATGCCTCGCGCCATCGACGCCCTAAGCATCTGCTGGTTGCGAGACTCCCCTGTGTCCAGGCTTCCCAGTGCTTCGTTTGTTTGCACGCGCAGTTGGTGGATAACCTTGTCGGCATGGTGACCCCGCGTGCTACAAAAGCCCACCGACGGGGCGCGGCCACCAGCGTCTACGACCAGCGAGCCAATCAGTGACTAAAGCCCTCCATTAAACCGCAGGAGAGGGCGCCGTCCCGTGAACCGCACAGGAAACACGCCACAAGCTATTGGAGGCGCAGGGGGCCAGAGCCCCATGACCTACGGCCGCAGTGACGCAACCATGGAGCACCCGCCTGCCATAATCCCCACGTCAGCAATGGAGCACGTACCCTGCGCTGTAAATAGGCCGGCCTAGTCCGGCCCAACCCAAGCCAGGCGTGTGTAATTGGAGGCCAGAGGGGTAGGAAGATAACAGCTAACCCAGATTATGTGATTATGACGCTGGGACCTTCCTCACCTCGTATGCAGTCAAGAAGTTCAGGACCAGGTCAGTGTAGAAGAAGAGGTCGATCAACCCCTCCAGCCAGAACCAGAAGCCGCTCGCAGGCTTGTTAAAGCCCTGCACAGGGCACATGGGCATGGCCGTGGTTGATCCGTGCGGCTGGCCATCTCTGTCAACCGTTCCCAGCGAAAGTTCTGACGACGAATTCAAAGGCCCACTTCCTGGCAAGTGTGGTGTCGATTATGGCACGACCCACATCAGAAAAACTTTACAATCATGAAGCGTGTCAGGGCTCGTATTCTATGTACTCAAGGACCCGACACCTCACTAGCCCTTAAACATTGTATGCACGTAAGTGTACGTAAGCTTATCAGCACAGGGTTACCCAGACAGGAAAACCACACAGGTTATTGGGGTGAGAATACAGCAGCACACCGCGCCGTGGTAAGCCTCGCACCCCACATGGGATTGGGAATTCGGACAGGTGGCCGAAGCAAACAAATGCTGGTAAGCCTGGGGACGCCCTGGAACGTGATCGGCTATGTGCCTCGACCCCGCCGCTCGTCCCAAAGGTCGCGCCCCAAACTTACCACGCGAACGGGAGTAACCCAAATGATGTAGAGCACCACGAAAAGCTGTACGTTTACCCATCTGGGAAGGGTTGTCGGAGAGTGATGTTAGGACAACACGAAAGGCCCAAACCCTGGGGGCTTGCACCTCCGACTGCAACCCCAACTCACATCTTCCGAAATCGTGAATCTGGCAGGATAACTCCGAGACGTTTCTTCTTATTCAAGCTGTTTGGCTGCAGGTCAAACATGTTCCAGTCTTCGTCGGTGGAGCTGGTGCTTGACGGCGCAAGAATCAGCCCTTACCTGTTCATCATGGAAAGCTCGTAGACCGGCTCCGTCTTCCAAGCAAACGAGCTCTAAGTTTTCCATACCATTGCTGCTCCGTCTACGTTCCACAGATACAAATCAGAAACACTTCGCTTCCAAACCTCATGCCTACGCGACTGACTTTGGTTGGTAGTAGTCACTGTATTGATACTCATTATCAGTAAGCACCGGGAGCACCGGCTGCGCCTCAGAAGCTGTTCGGGACCCAAGGCGCGCCTCATTTCCCTCAAACCCCTCCACGCGATTCCAGGACATTGTTGGCATTATTCAAAAGCCCCAAAAGACAATCACGTCCTTGCCCTAGGGGCCCATGCAAGGATCACCGAAGAGAGTCACCAAATAAAGAAGGGTGGAAACAGTATATGGAAAGGTTTAGTTGCAGCAAGAAGATCTCATGCTTACAGATGATACATGCATGAAAAAATTATACAGTCCCGCACCCACAGCTTGTATCAGTAAGCAACGACGAATACTCTTCTTGTCGTAGATGCGGTGCAACCCCACGTGCTGTACCTTCATTACTTGCTGCACTTTCATTCCCCAAAACCTACAATTTATGACGAGGAACTTAAGGTTCTTAATTACCGCTGTGATCGAAGCAAGGCAAGAAAACGTGCGTTTATAGCCGGATTTAAGATATCGATGCCCGCTATGAGGGTCTTTCCATTGGCCAGCGGCTGGGAAAGTTCCTTAAGTTCTATGGAGAAGTTAAGAAATTTCCTTAATTTCACTTTCCATTGGGCCCACTTTACACAACTTTTATCAGACGTACGGATTGTAAGAAATTGCTCACTTTTAAGCTACGTTAGCCCTCGAGCACATTACTACTATTGCCCAGCACGTTTTCGCTCGCATTCCTTGACTCCCCTAGACAATGTCCCCATGGCCACCGTCGGCAAACGCGCAGCGTTGTGCTGGGACGCGACCTGGTTAAGGCCTCCATACGACATTTGCGAATGATGTAACTCGTGGTGATAGTCCGGGAAAGCAGGGTGGTGACCCGACTCGAGATTGACATGGCCACGCTGCAAGCGAAGCTGCCTCAAGCAAGCCCCGTCATCCATATGAATTCCAATGTAACCAGCAGGACTTCCCTGGAAGGACATTGACGAGGAAATAGCACTCGCCGGTTATGCGTAGCTGGCGTCTGTCGCTTCCGAGGGCCGCGACTGCACTGGTCAACGCACCAAATATTTGGCTATTCAGCTCACACAAATGTGAAGAGTATATGCGAGGTCGACAATTTAATACATGGTCGGGAGCATGTACTAGCTAAGTATTTCTTAGCGAGTGTAATTGAAAAGTTACGGAAATCTCCCTTTCGTGTGTGTGTATGTGCGTATCACTATCTGTATTAGCATCCACACCCACAACAGACCAGGGTTCGGCCAGCAGCTCTTCAAAAGTCTGTCTGCAGGAGAAAAACCAAATGGGCGACACGGCATGTCGCGCCGTACATGCCGTACTACTTACCTCTCTGGCACGGTCAATGACCTCATTGGTCTTATCCTCCGCCGCCGATGCAAGGTCGTGGGCATCCTCGCTAGCGGACGTCTGGGTACGGTCCTTGTCACGGTCGCCGCCGCCGCTGGTCATCTGCATGTTGCTGCGGCCCTGAATGGTCAAGTCGTGAATGATCAGCGGGACACAAATCACGTGGACCGACGTGCGAAAAAGGGGGGGAGATGGAAGGGTTTTTGCCCCATCGCACGGCGACGTGGGACAGACGGAGCCGTTTCTGAGATTTGCAAGTGAGGGGTTAGAAATTACACAAGACACGCCACGCCTCAAGGAAATGCGGAACACCGCTGCTGCAACTGCGTAACGTGAGGAAAAATGCGAGGAGACAATCCGACCCATGGGTCGAAGTGCAGCGTAACCGCTTTGCTCCTTTCTCCATCGGCAGCAAGGCTGGGCCCAGGTAAAGGCCGACGCCGGACAGCTACGTGTATCAGATTATTACAATTAAAGACAATCTGGGCTGTGGACCGATTCCAGGTGGTGAATGCGAACATCAAGTGGGGACAGGTACTGCGGCCTGCGCGCGTTGACCAACGCTGCGCGAAAAGACTGCAGGGACAAAAGACTGTCAGGGCCATTCTTGCGCAACTCAAAATCACGGGCGCGCCGCGCCAACAGCCCGCGCACCACTTCGGCGCAATGCTGTCTGGGAGCTAATTCCGCTAATTCCATCCATAAGTACTTCCTTGAGGCCGGGCTGTAAGGGCTCTCACCTCGCCCTGTGTATCCTCAGCTCCGAAGGTCTCCTTGATTCGCTGGCCGGCGGAGTTGGCGGCATCAGCCAATTGGTCGACGATGCTCTCCGACATGGTGCTCTCCGACAAGGAAGCAATACTGCTCAGTACCTGGAGCACCTGGGAAGTTGCCTAAATCGATTTACGATAGCTTGGTAACGCAGAAGTAGGAATATTGGAGGAATTCCGACACGATTAAGAATGTGGAGAGTTTTTGTGCTATTCCTGTTTGCTCGTCCGAGGGCGCCAGCGTGGCATGATGATGTCAATACCGTACACTTCTGGCGCTGGCCCCCAAAATCATGAAGCAATTCTTGCAGCGGAGCCAGAACGGCTTCTAGTGCTTGCAGCACACGCTGGGGCCTTTTTCCGTGACGGATTCGGCAAGCCATGCCAGCTTCACTAGCTCTATGCTTTAGCAGGCATCACCACTGAGGAAGCCAACCAAGGTACAACAGCAGGCCTTGCCAAGTAAAAATATTAACCCCCAAACACTGTCCAAACCCAAAACCTAGGTCCCGACAAAAGAGGGAAGAAGAACAGATTGACAAAATCACCTGTCCGGAGGCTTCACATTTGGCACATATATTGCGCCCATCAAGAGGACATAGCTCTTCTTGACACCGTCGCTGCTGGCCCGGGGGCCAGAATGCCAGGAATTAGCCACAGGCCTTGTACAAATTGAACGAAGTGACGCAACTAAAAACGCTCCACCATAGCGCAACATGTACCATCTAACGACCGCAACAATCCTTCAAAGAATACCCTGAGCTAGAAGGCCACAATGACATGCGGAAACAATTTATAAGGCAATATCCCCAAGCAAGTAAATTCGTCAGCTTCGTCAGTGAATTGCCATCGCCCCTCACCCCGCCTCAACTCCCAGAATGCTGGGGAAATTCTCCATTCCTTGTGTTGAAACTACAGCTTTCATTTCTCCCCATCTTTCGCGGTGCCCAAAACGGCAATCCCCACCCAATCTACCCGTTTTGGCACGCACATTATCCTTACACCCGCTCCTGCGCACGACGGATACACCCATAGACAAGAAACTATTAAGAGAAAAACCTTCCTCCTGTCATCTTGCACATCCAATCCTTTCTTCCAAAGCGTGGCGGCAAAATGTTTAAATGGCATTTCTTCCCGCTACTCCGCCGCCCTCACCTTCCCACGCAAAGCGTGGCGGCAAATTCTTAAACGGCATTTCTCCTTTTCGCTATCCTCGCTTCCCACGCAACCTTCGCGCCCGAATACGACAACTAATTTCTCCACGAGAAGGAGCTGAACCTTTTTTTTCCACTACGCAGACATCCCAAGCACGTCCTCGACCTTCTCCGACATATCGCGCGCCGCCTCGTATCCCGCATTCTGACCCGTCTCGCTGGTAACCTGTGGATCTTGCGTGTCGCGGCCTGGAACACTCTCCGCGGCCCGGGTCTTCATGTCATCCATGGCGCTGCGAGCCTGAGATTGGGAATGGTTGGTTTATCACAGCATCAGGAGGACAGGGCCCATGCCGAGCATACCGTTTTCGCTCAGGAGACACCAACTCAAGAGTACATGGGTAATCTGAGAAGATATTTGGTTCTCAAAATTGCAACTCGAAAAACACTCGTAAACTGTGGTGGTGGTGAACACACCTAAACTGTGATGGTGGTGGCGGTGGTGTGGTGGTGGTGGTTAAAGGAGGCCACTGGAAAACGCCGGCAGCCTCACCTTTTCCGACTCATCCGCCACGAAGCCCTTGGTGCCCTTGTATGCATCGTCGGCGCGCTGCGACATGTCCTGGGTGGTCTGCACAAGGACGCAAGAGGCAGAAAGACGGGGGCAGGCAGGTAGACAGGTAGGCACAGGGCCAAACCGAAATGCAATGCAAGAGCGACAACGCGGCGAGGCTTCAACGTAGTGGGAACACACGGTGCGTAGCGCTGTTGTGGTTCGGTGGTGGTGGCTACATCCTGACACCCCAGCAGACGGGACACCCCGGCACGTACTGTATGTATGGAACACATATGACACACCACTCCACACCACACACCATTCGAGCCATTCTACGGAGTACAGGTGAGGACGTCTTTGACAGGGAAAGACTACCCGGCTGCCACTCATCACTGCCACACCCACTGCCACCACCACTATTGACTCTTGCGGCCACGCAGCCGCCTGTGGCGAGGCAAGCCTGTTCGCGTGTGTGTGTATGTGCGTATCACTATCTGTATTAGCATCCACACCCACAACAGACCAGGGTTCGGCCAGCAGCTCTTCAAAAGTCTGTCTGCAGGAGAAAAACCAAATGGGCGACACGGCATGTCGCGCCGTACATGCCGTACTACTTACCTCTCTGGCACGGTCAATGACCTCATTGGTCTTATCCTCCGCCGCCGATGCAAGGTCGTGGGCATCCTCGCTAGCGGACGTCTGGGTACGGTCCTTGTCACGGTCGCCGCCGCCGCTGGTCATCTGCATGTTGCTGCGGCCCTGAATGGTCAAGTCGTGAATGATCAGCGGGACACAAATCACGTGGACCGACGTGCGAAAAAGGGGGGGAGATGGAAGGGTTTTTGCCCCATCGCACGGCGACGTGGGACAGACGGAGCCGTTTCTGAGATTTGCAAGTGAGGGGTTAGAAATTACACAAGACACGCCACGCCTCAAGGAAATGCGGAACACCGCTGCTGCAACTGCGTAACGTGAGGAAAAATGCGAGGAGACAATCCGACCCATGGGTCGAAGTGCAGCGTAACCGCTTTGCTCCTTTCTCCATCGGCAGCAAGGCTGGGCCCAGGTAAAGGCCGACGCCGGACAGCTACGTGTATCAGATTATTACAATTAAAGACAATCTGGGCTGTGGACCGATTCCAGGTGGTGAATGCGAACATCAAGTGGGGACAGGTACTGCGGCCTGCGCGCGTTGACCAACGCTGCGCGAAAAGACTGCAGGGACAAAAGACTGTCAGGGCCATTCTTGCGCAACTCAAAATCACGGGCGCGCCGCGCCAACAGCCCGCGCACCACTTCGGCGCAATGCTGTCTGGGAGCTAATTCCGCTAATTCCATCCATAAGTACTTCCTTGAGGCCGGGCTGTAAGGGCTCTCACCTCGCCCTGTGTATCCTCAGCTCCGAAGGTCTCCTTGATTCGCTGGCCGGCGGAGTTGGCGGCATCAGCCAATTGGTCGACGATGCTCTCCGACATGGTGCTCTCCGACAAGGAAGCAATACTGCTCAGTACCTGGAGCACCTGGGAAGTTGCCTAAATCGATTTACGATAGCTTGGTAACGCAGAAGTAGGAATATTGGAGGAATTCCGACACGATTAAGAATGTGGAGAGTTTTTGTGCTATTCCTGTTTGCTCGTCCGAGGGCGCCAGCGTGGCATGATGATGTCAATACCGTACACTTCTGGCGCTGGCCCCCAAAATCATGAAGCAATTCTTGCAGCGGAGCCAGAACGGCTTCTAGTGCTTGCAGCACACGCTGGGGCCTTTTTCCGTGACGGATTCGGCAAGCCATGCCAGCTTCACTAGCTCTATGCTTTAGCAGGCATCACCACTGAGGAAGCCAACCAAGGTACAACAGCAGGCCTTGCCAAGTAAAAATATTAACCCCCAAACACTGTCCAAACCCAAAACCTAGGTCCCGACAAAAGAGGGAAGAAGAACAGATTGACAAAATCACCTGTCCGGAGGCTTCACATTTGGCACACGACAGCAAACCTCGCCTGCTTCAGTAACACGTTGATAGGGGTCGTTAGGTTGAGCCTGATCCCGTTTCTTGTGGCTCATCCCAATCTTTCATGTGCCACTCCTGCCTCCTTTGAGCCCCGTCTCGAGGCAAAAGGGACGCGACATCCTCCGCTGGCCGTCCGTCTTTCAGATTCGAAAGCTTCCGGCAAAAGAACTCATAACGAGAACGAATATCGGCGACGTATCGGGTCGGAAGCTCCACGCTTGTGGCCCCCAGCCCCGAAGGAACCGAGTTTCATAGGTTTTTAAATAAGGGAGCTGTTTTGAATCGCGATCGGCGCCTGTACAGTCGGTACGCTTAGCTGTGAATCCCAGCCGGAGCTCCAGCGCCTTCCCCATATCACAGCCAGATAGCTACCCGTGGGTCCTGTAAACCCATAAAAATGCCAACAGGCAAATGGTCTGCATTATTTCAGCCAATCCTAGTAAAAGGACTGCCAAGGACCTGTCATGCTTGTATATACTGTCGAGTAGGAGAGGGTACCATCTGGCCGCTGCAAGTGCACATGTGTTGGGGGGAGGGTGAAGTTGAGTGCGAGGGGCAACCCTTCCCTTGCCCTGGATTAGTATGGCATCTGACAAATCTGCTCTCGTTCTGCAAGCCAACAAGCTGCTGCCTGCCAAAGCTGCCACCGACGATGATGACTGACCGCCCGGCCCTCCCATGATGTGTTCAAGACACCGATTAGTTCCCATGCCTTTCGAAACAATTTTTTTTTGTCAAAACATCGTTAGGCAGTAGCAAACGCTTTACATGCGTTGGGCCTCGCTCGGGACACGCGGCACGCGATGGACCTCCTCACGGCGGCTCACGGCTAATGTAACACTATCACGGTGCGTACACAGCAGCGCGCAACAAGTCCTGGATACTGGGTGCCTTAACGTGCCGTCAGCACGAATTCAACCACCGGGTGAACACTGATGAATGCTGCTCAAGTTAAATCTGCGGCACCAGCAAGTGACAACGCTACCGCCACCACTGGACCAAAACAGTATATAATTCAGTCCTCAAAATAATGAAGATTTTTAGGGTGACCCACTTCCGCTGCATCGCGGCGACGCGCAGGTGTCCTATATACCGGGGTTTATGGTACATACGCAGATGTGGAGCGTTATGTCAGCGCGACAGTAACAAAAAACAGTACCCCCCGTCCTTACACAGCGCGGACGGTCACAATTCGCGATCAGCATTAAACAACAAGTAAAATTATACGTGTCACCATAGAGAAATGCCGTACACACTACACACTCGGGCTTTTTTTACATACATCCAAGCTTCCAAAAATCAGTCGAAACACAGCACATTTTCCCACCCATACACGGTGAACTCTACACAAGAACGAATCCACGACGTTCATACCCACATCAGCAGCACCCAACAACAGGGCTCCTTGCCATCTCGCACCAAACCCCCATGCACGTGTGCTGATATGGGGCTGTCCACGCAAACCGGCCTCACCGCGGGAGCACAGCGTCCACAAAAAAAACTCATTTTGCGCAAAGGTGATCCATGGACCCCCGGTACGCGGCGCCCCTGAGCCGCACTCCGCTCTCATTTCACCGCATTCTAAGCCAGGCCCTGTGCATGGTGATAAGGGGACTGATACATGAAGGTCATCAGGACAGCGTCCAAGAAACATCATGCAGCAGCATCAAGCTAAGGAAAATGCCGGTGAAAAAGCAATGCAAACCCACACATCTGCGGTGAAACCTCATATGACGATATCTGCGGACGAGCCACCCCCGCAAGCCCGGGCCCCCGCAGCTTCGGACTTTGGACGCCGGCAGTTCTGATTTCCTTGCAATGATTTCTCCCACCGCCACCACCCCGCCCGCGCACATGGCGTCTTCCCAACCAAGCAACCCCTTAGGACCAAGCCAGGAGCGTGCGAAAAGCCTAATGTTATGCAGTGCTGATGCAGATCGTACACGGACCCACGGCCTGAAAAAACACGAACCAGGCCCCAGCTGACATTGCCTCACATGTACTATTTGCCCCACCAGCTTCTAAGCACCGTCGTTCTAATCACCGTACCGCGCAGATATATGGACACCTTCAACCCTAAACCCCCGACAGCTCCTTCACCTCCCCTGTCCTCAGTCCAACATTAGGCAGCAGCAGCACAACGCAGCCAATGCACCCAAACCGCAGCACCATTTTGCGCTGTTGTCTTGCTGGTGATGATGATGGTGGTGGTGGGGATCAGGTCCCTGCACATACACCGGCTGTGCATACACGCCCGGCGGTGGTGGCGGCGGGTAACCAGCGGGATAGCCTGCGAGTAGGATTAGGACCTAACGTCAGGAGAAGGAACAACAACCTGGCAACCACAAATCGGTATAGCACGAGCTCGATATATAGCTTCAATATAATACGAGGATAATAAGGCAATACTTGTGCCATATGTGCTGAAACCTGAAAGCACTGACTTCGCATCGCCATATCCTGTTTGTCTTGAACAGGATACATAGGACATACGCACGTACGTGCTGCTGGGCACGTCGCTCGAGACGCACGCAATCATGTGAAAGTATAATGGTCACGATAGAGGATAGAAAGCATACTTGCATTTGAGCGACCAAGTGCTCTCTTTCATGGCCGTCCGCCTGCCTGCCTGTCAACTGAAGCTGAAAATGAAAAGCCACAAAAATTACAAGTGGGCCTTGTTGCCATGCACGAAACCACTCACCCATCCATTTCCACCAAGAGATGTAACACAAGTAACAAGCACTTTCCCACAATGAAAAGCCTGGGGGTTCTGGGCCCAGAAACCCTCCTTCCAATCACCATGCACGGCAATGCCCAGCTTGCATGGACGCCCGCCACGCCGACATAACCCTTCAATGCTCAGCTTACCGGGTGGTGGCGGCCCGTAGGGACCGGTCGGATATCCTGGTGGAGGCGGCATGTAGCCTGGCGGTGGTGCCCCGTAGCCGTGAACAGGTGGCGGTCCATAGCCTTGTGCCGCATAGGGATCAGGGGCGGGGTAGCCTGGACGCATGATGCGCAGGCAGGCAAGCAGGGGGACAGTCACACAGCGATGAGGGCAAAGACATGGGCGCTGCGACAGTAGGAAAGCCGACATCCTTTCCGATGAAGAAGGCGCAGGCTTGGAGGCGAGTTGTGCGTCGTTGCGTTTTGTGGAGGAATGGTCGGATAAGTGGGCGCATAGGAGCATAGGAGGAGCCTCCAGCCTGAAGCCAGTCAGTGCCCCGCCTCCGAATAAACCGGGATCCAACAACCAGTATTTTTGGGAAGTCGCACGGCGCAGGGTGGTGAGCTGGTGCCGTTGAACGAGGTCCGCAGCTGCCAGGGGTTCCAGTTCCTACTGATCTTTGCCACAGATTGCCTCCCAGCACCCGACATGCGAGCTCGTCCATGCAAAGCCATGCTTACCAGGCACTGCCTTGCTTGGATCGTAGCCGGGTGGGGGCGGGTAACCTGTATCAGGTGGGCAACACCATGCAGGTGAGATGACACATCCGGGACGCAGGTGCGTTCGGAACACGCTGCGAAGTTGCGAGCCACCCGCCCATAAGAGCCCAGGTGTCGATCATTTCCAACATGTACTGTAAACTGTGCATAGCAAAGAAACACATAATGAGGTCTGAAAGCACTTCCGCCTTCCCCAGCGACACGCCATCGGAGCTTTCAACCGCAGTTGAGAGAGTGAAGCCACTGTTCAATGCAAGACAATGATGCAGCACATGTTTCATGGTTAACCTGGGTTAACCTGGCAGCTGGTTTTTCAAAATAAGTCGTCACGTAAGCCCGCGCCTGAAGCGCTTGAAACACACTTCTCGCACCTGCCATTCCTGAGCAGCTCCTAAATAGACAGACGCAACTGTGCGTTTGAAGTTTACCCTGCGCCACAGGCCAAGTTGTCAGCCTATTAACGCTGAAGTAACTGTGCATAGGCTTGAAACCCAATTCAAGATAGGTTAGGTGCTATATGCATGAAAGGTATCCTAACATATACCCACCTGTCCAATAACTCCTGTGCGAAGCAGGAGAACTGGTTTTTGGCCTTTCAACAGGAACCAAGCTGTGATAAATATAATTTCACCCTGAGGATAAAAAACATCAATCGATGCCACAGTTCTTATCTTGTGAAGCGTTGTCCATTCTCAAAATGTTCAGGTTCAGTTGCAAAAAGGTGTACGAACGATACGTCTACGAGAAATTTCGCAGTGGCTGGGATTCTGTAACTGCATATGTATAGTAGACAATGCATCACTTGGAGTTCAGGTTCACATATGGGGATGAAATTACATGGTAGCTGATTATGACGCGCAACGTTGCCGCAGGTACTGCCAGTGCCCAAGGCAAAAGCTGGGGCTGTTGACATACATCGGATGTTGGGATCCACCTTAGTCCCCGAGAGCCTCATCAAGAAACGAGTTTTGTATTTAGTCTCCCACTCCCACCGCCACCACCATTTACAGATGCCAATCAACGAATTGGGCATTTTCTCCTTTCGTTAATGTCTGCAGCGCTAATCCTAACGACAAAGTGACAGGGCCCACCAGGTTTAGAAGTCTTCTGCATCGTAGCCGCCGTGTAGTCCGTAAGGAGATCCAGCCAAAAAGTTACATACCACACACTTGATAGCTTTAATACGTTCCTCCTAGCCGTATTCTCTCAGCCATCAAGATTGTACAATTTCTCTGAGAAGACGCACCCATCCGTTCCTAGCGCTATCCGTGACTTGTCGCGACATAGGCGCCGGACAGCTCCGCCCTGCTCAGGACAATCTCCAAGCTACTGAGCGTCTCATCATTTCAGCTGCGCCTTCAGCCGCAGCTCTGTCGACGAAATGTCCAACCGAAAAGCCTCCTCTGGCAACGAATTTGTGAACAAGTCGGCCAGCTCCGGCGGCACCTCCACGTTGGCCAGTGACATGAACCTGCCGCTGGCCGCGTCCTTGCGACCGGCTACGATAAAGCTGCACCCATTCTGCCGCAGCCTGAATCAGCATGGGTTTGGGGCCAGTTGTTGCGGGAGGGCACGTCAGCTTGATGAGCACAACTGTCCAAAGACTTCCTGCGGTTCAAAGGCTCTCACGGTCTTGTCTGTACTTCAAGTATGTGAAGCACAATCATTGAGATTGGTAGGTGTGAAGGTGCACACACAGAGACACGGGAACCCGCGGCACCCCTCCCGTCTAGGCATAGATGCTCCATCCTTCGCCAAGGCAAGGGCCAGATGGTCGCAATAGCAAGCAAGGAAAACAATTCGCCAGACGGCTGTAATAACAAGGATCGATCATGTTTCTCCGGCGAGATCCCCATCGATCGCGCGGGGTTTCCGTTGCCCGAGAATGCCGCTTTCTGCATGTTGGGAGCATGGCCTGAAGTGGAACCTACTATCCAGGGCTGGGCTGATCATGGCTGATACAGAACTCCAACAGGACCAGTATGAATACAAGGAGCATTTTAAACGGGCAAATAGTTCTGGGAAATGTGGATGGCCATATGAATGGCAAACGACGGCATTTTTTCTTTGCCTGCTCGACCGCTGAGCTGCATTACCAGCGATATTAACCAGCAATAACTTCCATGCGCCAATAAGCTCCTCTCTTTCCTTATAGCAGTCATAACTAAAATTCCTACTTCGCATTGGGGTTATTGCCCGTCTCCTTTCGTGTTTGCATAGGGGAGTTCATCGACGCAGATGCTCAAAGCCACGAGGCGAATCAGGGCGCTGCAGGGGCCCCGGCATTCGTGCGCTTCCATGTCCTCATCAGGACGCATCCTCAGGAATCATCTCACCTCCCCTTCCTAAACCGTCACCGTACACACCAGCTGCCTCCCACACTCACTCGTACCTCAGCTACACGTCCCATATCCCCACCTGTCCCCACCTCCACGGCCGCAACTTATACCAACCTTGCGAAATCAAGCAGCATTTGCGTGTATGAGTTGCCGTAGTACTTGGGTAGCACGAGCCGTGCAGCCGTGTCGTATCCGACCACGAAGCGGCTGCCCGGCAACAGGTCCGCCTTGTTGGTGAACAGTGGCGCACGGGTCACCACCACAGGGAGCCCCAATGCCACAAACTGAGCCACACGCTTGTGGATATCCTCCGCGGACAGCAAGCCCTGCAGGGAGACCAGCGCGATGTATTGCAGCAAAGCGAAAGGCATTATTCCCAACCAAATATTTTATTGATAGGAAGTCCTGTGTGAAGGGACGCGTCTGGCACCACAATGTGCAGTACAGCGTGCCCATCCTACTTGCACATTGGAGCCGCTGCAGGTTGCGTTGCGTCAGGAAGTCTAGTGCAGTCCGCACCTTGTCTGCATTCTGCACCGTTAGCTCAAAGGCGCCTTCGAGCGAGCCAACGCCGACATCGCCGTTCGCGGCTCTGAGTGCCGCTGCTAGCAACTCCTGATGCCCTGTAAGAATTCATTGCAATGGTAAAACCTTACAAGCCGTTGTAGCTCAGTGGTAGAGCGTTTGTCTTGTAAACAAAAGGTCCCTGGTTCAATCCCAGGCTGCGGCAATAAGCTACACAGACACTTCTTATAATACTAGTGTAATTAGGGTAAATATATTATCATGTTTAGGATTTGACTCAAGATGATGGGATGATTACTTCGCTAACTATGTGAAATGAGCATTTGAAAGGGCGATCGGGCCAATTTTTGCTCCTATTCTGCCTGCAATAATTTCAGGCGCAAATGTGTATGCGTCGATTTCCCTGCGCCGTTTTCCGTCCTGCCAATCCCCGACCGACCTTGATGTAAGGGATTGAACGAGCCGGGCAAGTACACACGCCCATGCCGCGGCGCGTCCACCACCACCTCGCTCCCACAAAACTCAACGCAGCGGATCTCCCCTCGCAGCAACTGCTGCACTGGATCATTCGCCGCTTGGCGAATATCGTTTACGACGTCATATGAATGTACGACGAAAGCTGATTGCGCTGCCGCGGTGCTGCAGCCAGCGGATGCGGCAGCAGCTGCCGCTTCCTGGGTGATCAGGGGCAGCTGTAGGGTGGAGCTGTCGCAGCCACTTGCTTCTGCAAGCAACTGAAACAGATACCCAAGGTGCGAGACGCGCTACTTCATGGCGGCGCCATAAATCTATGCATCATCATCCAAAACATGACATTGTGCGACTGTACGGCATGCCGTACGTACCTTGGTGACCCCAGCATGTTGTGACTGGGCAAGTATCAACTGCCCCATCCGCAAAACGGCCATGATGACCTACAACACGGTTTGAGTACGGCGGTACAGCATGCCGTACGCACCTTAATGAGCATCCTGCTGACCAAGTCGTCTTCGCCGACTCGAGTGCGGGCGCCCTTGGCCAAGGTCATGGCCAGGCAGCGTGAGCCGGCGGCCGAACCGCCGTGGACTGCCAAAAACGCCCGGTGGTCGCCACGCTTAGCGCCCACCTGAGGCAGCAATACGGCAGGTGTACGACACAGGTTTATCAATACACTGGGTCAGCAGTCAAGGACGTAAAATGTACCTTTCAATCCTTGTAAAGGGTTTGATGCGATGTGCTGTTGACTAACGGAAGCTCAATAAATTCCGGTTGCAGCGCGCTTGTAAAGCCGGCTACAGCAGATATCCCACTTTCAAGATCATAATACTGGAATCGAACTCGTGACTGCGGCTGTGACAGTGACTGTGGCAGACCCGAACTTCCATCCACACCCAGCCCGCGCACACACGCGCACGTACCCCGCACGGGCAAATCCTGTTCGCGTTCTCGTACAGCGCTGCCCCTAGCTTCTTTTATTAAATTTATTGGAAGGACGATTAAACCTCCTGTCCGAAAGTGCGTCCTAGCTGTCCCCCTAATCCAGGTTCGCCCTCGCTGGGATTCGGAGCGTACCGTGGATAAAGAGCAAGTGGCTCCGAGACCAACGATGCTGTCACCGAAGGAACTCAGGTCAGCGGCCCGGCGGTAGGCAGCCTCCGCCATCGCAGCCGCCGTAGCAGAGCTGCAGTACTGCTCGGGCTCCTGCGTTGCACGACAACGGTACCAAATATAGGCAATGTTCATATCCGTGCCGTACGATGTACGGCATGGCATGATTCAGCGCAGGCGACGGCGGTGGAAGGAGACGACCAAGAGCCTGGGGATGTGAGGGAGGGGAATGGTGTCCTAAACCTTCCCGGGTTTTACCTTTCCAAGAGTGCTGATGAGGCTGCTGCGAGCGTACGGCACCGCGGCCTCCAGTACTGTCGCTGATGCGCCTGGTACTGCTAGCAGCCAGGAGATGCACTGGGACGGGGGAGGGGGAGGGGGAGGGGGAGGGGGAGGGGAGGGTGAACGGCCCACGGGGCGGACAGTTAAAGTCATCGAGCCTGTACATGGCATTGACTTGTTGCTCCTTACATGGTCCACTTATAGGTTGCGCGGTAACAGTTTTCGCGCTATCATTGGGAGGGCGGACGGGATTTTTCCATGGCGTAATTCTTTGTGACATACATTTTCAATGTGTACAGACGCAGGGTAATATGATTTTGGACGACACGGGAAGCATTCCACAAACACACAGCACAGTGGAATGCGGGATAAAGCAATTGTTGACCCGAACTACCTCTGGACGTATGGGACGTACGAGAGGAAGGTGTAAGGCCGCGGGGTACTACGCCCTGCTGCGGTCCTTGTAAGCACTTTGACCACACTTGCCTGCACTGCTCCACCTGTCACGTACACGACCGCCTTGGTCTTGTTGCTATGAATGCTCCGTATCACCGCCTCCACGTCAGGAGCCAGCTCATGCACCTGGGGGCAGCTGGCGCTCACAGAGGCCATGCGCGTCTGCGTGCTTCGCATGCCGCGATTGACCCATCCGAGTCCGCGCGACGGGGCCTTGACTTTCAACATTTTCACTGCGTTTCTTCCAATTATAGCACTTGTACTGTGCACCAGGTTAGCGCAAAACCGAAGTGGCGGAACGACTACCCTACCAATTGCGTGAAAAATCGCGACATGCATAGGATTTATACCGCTTTCAACAATTATTTATGCCCAGCATCGCGCGTTGCTTTAGTAAGCTTAACCATGCCGTTATTTCTACAAACTCTGGCAACACCGTACGTTTTACTGGTCGAAATGCTGTACGACACAAGTGTTTCCTTGCAGATTTTGCTTTTCATACCATCAAAATATTCAAAAAGTATAATCAATCCTAAAAGAAAAACTTTCTTTAATCATGCTCGGCCAGCTCCAAACCTTCCGCACCCGCTGGCGCAGCATCGCCACGCAGCCCACGCGCGCTGCCACCTTCGCTGCGCCGCGAAATAGCATGAGTTTATCAGTCCGATGCGCAGCGACAGGTACAAAACTAATTGCGCTGGACTTTGATGGCGTGGTCTGCGACTCGGTGGGGGAGAGCAGTCTTTCGGCCTTCAAGGTACGGCGGCGTCTCTAGAGGAAGGTGGATGGGGTTAAGGCGGACCAATGGCAAATGACGCATGGATGGGGGGTGGGGTTGACAGCGCTTGGGTGAGGGTAAGGAGCTCCAGGGAACCCAGACGGCCAGACGGAGGGCGGCCGGGTATTTTCTGAAAGGAGGCAGGAAGGGCAGGGAGAGCAGGGAGAGCAGGGAAAGTGCTTGGAACGGGGCAGAAAGGGACGCAGGTTACACGAAGGGTCGAGGTTCTTGGGAGACAGGGAAACAGCCGATGTGGGAGCCAAACGAATTTCCATGTCGAATTTGCCACATCCTCGTTACGTTCACCCTGTCCGCAATCGCCTTCCCGCGGTCACACCGTTTGGCTCTCTGATCACGCCTTAAATCCGCTTTCCGTGTGGCCTTAGGGTGCATTTTACTTCCGGAAAACACGAGCCCGCAACCATTTGAAAGAGCTTCTCCCACTCTGGACGAGCTGACTTGTCGTACCCTACCGTCGTACTGGACAGGCGGCCGCGCTGCTGTGGCCGGAGATTTTCCAAACCCCCGAGGCCGAAGCGCGGAAGAACGAGCTTGTGGAGAAGATGCGTGCCGTACGGCCCGTCGTGGAGACAGGGTGAGAACGGGGGGCTGTTCAGAAGAGGGGCAGCGAAGATCGGAATGAACGAACGAACGAACGACATTGCGCCAGCGGATCTTTAGATTCCGCCGGGGCATGCCCTGTTTTGGAAAGTTCGGGTATGGCTATGGACGTGCCGCGTTATGAAGCGTGGGGTAGGTGGCCCTTTATAGAGCGGTAATATAATCGAAAATTCCCTTTATCCTGACAAAATGTACGGAAATGTACGAGTAGACCTACGAATTATCTTCCGTCCGGAAGAGCCTCTGCGGCAGCTGCCTTATGGCGCGAGACTGAAATTTCGTTGAGCTACCATCGTCTAAACTAAACTTTTCCGAATCTGCCGGACATAAGGCCTGGCGGCCACCACCATCCAACACGGCCAGATCGTCTGCTGTCGGTCCCGTGACTCCCGTGACGTCTGCAGGTACGAAAATATTATACAGATACGGTGTTTGTACGAAGGCGTGTCCGTGGACGAGATGCTGGCGACCTGGGAGACAATGCTGCCTTCTCGCATGGCCGAGTGGGGCCTCAACCGCGGCGAGGTACGAACGAACGAACGAACGAACTTGCACGACAACCGTACAACCACCTGCCCACACAGGTAGCAGGCAATTCGAGAAAACTTGGTGAGAATATTTTCTTTTCCCGGCTGTCAACGCCCACAGCCGAGAAAAGGAATATTCTCACCAGATTTTCGAATCGCGAAACGCTGGAAAAAGAAGATTCCATAATTGCCCAACTTTTACGCACACACCCATGGCTGGTCGCAGATGGTCGAGCTCTTCGGTCAGGTGCGCGATGACTGGATCGCGGCCGATCTGGACGGCTGGCTGGCGCCCAACCGCATTTACGAGGGCGTGGCCGATCCAGTGTGCGGCGCCATGAGCAGCCACCAAGTCTACATCGTCACCACCAAACAGGTAACCTTGGGTACATGTACAGCATGTACGACGCTGCGCGGTGTCGTACGCGGCAGCCGTCGCCTGCGTCGAAGAGTCGGTTGGGTGGGTGGATGTTTGAATGGCTGGGAAGAGAAGAAGTGCTTCTTGGTAGGGTCCGCTGTGTAATTAACTGCGTGGCTTCTTACATGCTGTGTGAAGACCTAATATTACATTTTACATTAATACACACAGACAGGTATATGTATACACGTGCACATGTGCGCGCATATGTATGTATGTTGGTGTTCTTAGCTGCGAAGCTGGGTATCAGGCAACGGTCTTTCTTTTACCTCTATATTACCTACCTACCTCCCGCCCGCCATTTCCCGCCCCCACCCACCCGCACTTCCCTTCCCTCGCTCCCCCCTTGGGCCCCACACAGGCCCACTACACGGAGATTTTGATGCGGGACATGGCCTCGGTACCCTTCCCCGCCGACCGCATCTTCAGCCAAACGGTTTCGGGGCGACCCAAAGGTGAGGTGCTGGCGGCGCTGGCGGCCCAGCACCCGGACGTCAACGCCAAGATCTTCGTGGAAGACAAACTGAGCACGCTGGAAAAAGTGGCCAGGTGCGGTGCGGTGTGGTGTGGTGTGGTGGCAATTCCAGAACTATTTCTTGTATTTCTTTATTCTTTAACATAAGCCAATAGAGAATTATAACCGAACCTTCTGGATACGATGCCTGGGATTCTTCAAGATTTGTTTTGTTTCCTCCGTCCTTTTATGAACCTGTATGCGAGTACGTGAATAATCCAGGGGTCACCATACACCCGTTTACAGCCTGTTCGCATGCCGCTCATCTGATTTTTTGTTTGTTAGTGCGTGTTAGACCTTTTGGAGTTGCGTTACTCTCCAAAGGTGTAACTATGTTCATGGCTGGAAAACCACGATCTGTACACGCCGCTTTCAAAACCTCTCTCTACACATCAACACGCCCATGCCGCATACCCGGGCACGTAGTACGCATGTGGACAGATGTACGACATGTACGGCGTATCTATCCACAGGGATCCCGCGTTGTCGGACTGGCAGCTCTTCCTGGTGGACTGGGGATACAATACACCGGGAGAGCGAGCCCGCGCCGCCGCGCACCCCGCCATCACCGTCATCGACAAGCACCAGTTTAAGGAGCTTCTGACGGTGCCGGCGGCTGCGGCTGAGACCGAGATGGGGTTGCAAGTGGCACAGTGATTTTATCTAAAAGATTCCAATCGTTGAGGAGCGTGAAACGATACCACTGAATGAGCGCCTTGAGCTGCTCTCAGTCCTCGTGAACCTGCTTCGCAATTTACTAAATCTTCACAGTCCAGGACGATTTCGGCGGCCTCACGGCGCGCGTGCATATGTTGGCGAAGGCAAGGAATCGAGCGGACACGTAGGGCAAAAGGGGAGGAGCGTATTGGGAAGGCGGAGGACGCGTACTTCTGCAGCAGCAGGAGGGGGCGCATTGGGGCGGGGAGAGGGCGCGGCTTTGGCCTTGGCAGCCGAAGAGGAGTCGGAGACGAGAAGCTGCTACTGCTGCTGCTGGTGATGGTAATGATGTAACTTGGGAATAATAGGATTGATTGTTAGGGGCTGGGGACAGGAATGGTTGTAGATGGAGTAGATGGGCTGGAAAACTGGTTTCTGAGCGGCATGGAAAACTCGAAAAAAATTGCGGGGAAAGGATAGGATAGCATTGCTTAATGGGGGTGATCCTGGGTGGGTTGGTGAAACCGACCGAAACGCGATGGTATATTGATAAGATTGGGGGCTACGGTGTTCTGACTTCTAGCTGAGCTGGGATTGAGAATAAACTCTTGGTACTCTTGGTCATCTCGATGAAAAGCAGGGGTTGATGATTGTGTTCGTGTCTAATTCCGCAGCCATTGTATTCTTGTCTGATTCCGCAGCATGTGCCATCGTCGCCACGTCGTTACTTGCCAGTCGAAGTCCATGGCTGGGCGACTGTCCTCGTCGGGGGTGTGTGTGGAAAGGACGCGGATGAAGGTTCCAGCAGAACACGCGATGTGTCGCCCCTTCCTCGTTCCGTTGCTGTCCTCTGCCCGACATCCGTTCCTTGTTAACGACAAAAGATGAACAGCACCACTCAACCTACCCTGCCTCTTGCTCAGCAGTCAATCATGTGGCTGCCCCAGAGGCGGCACACACAACACCATGGCTTGCAGCAATAATACAGGCAACAGAAGCAACAACAGAAGCACCAGCCCAACCAAGGCAGCAACAAGGCAGTGAAATTCTCCTACGAATACAGCAATGAAATCCAAGCCATGGGTGAAATTCACATAGCTCAGGAAGAACAAAGAGTCTAGCCATCCGCATCAATAAACAAATCAAGCCACCCGCTTCAGCGTGTACGTGTAGTCGTACACAGCCACCGCCTGATTCCCCGCCTCGAAAAACGCCGCATCCTGGGGTTGCAGGAAAGCCGCCACTCGCTGCAACACCTGCACTTCGGCACCTATACCAGTTACCACCACTGACCCTGATGCGGCTGCCGCCGTGGCCGCTGTCACCTCCGTTGTCGCCACCGCCATCTCAGCAGCAGCAGAAGAAGAAGCAGGAGGGTCTTGAAATCCCCGGGCGAACCCCGGGGCCCCATCCCCCACAGTACCCGGGGTTTCAGCGGCTGCCAGGTCCCCCTCCAGGTTGTTCCCGTCGCTCTTGGAGCCCATTCCCACAGCTTTAACCCCTGTTGCTGCTGCTGCTGCTGATACTGATTCCAACAATGATGATGATGATGATGATGATGATGATGATGATGATGATGATGAAGGAGATGGCGGCTGTAGTGTTGGCACTGGTGATGCTTCCGAAACGGTTGCAGCTGCAGCCGCTGCTGCTGCTGCCGTGGCTATACCTGCAGTGATATCACGTGTTGTTGTTGATGATGCTGTTGTTGTTGCCGTGTCGGAGGATATATGTGTTCTTGGTGCTGCTGGTGCTGTGGCGGCGGTGTCAAGGGGGGTGGTAGCAGCGGCCCTGGTCGCCGCAGTAGCTCCTTCCTCCCCACCAGCCACACGTCCCGGCTGTAGCAGGGTGTAACGGGAGATGGTCTCGTAGTCCCCCACGAAGCCCTGTGCCGAGGCCTGGCTGACCTGCCTGCACGTTCATGTTTGTTTGTACGTATATACGTGCACATGTGGGGGGGGGGTTATGGTAGGCTTAAGAAGGAGAAGAAGAAGGGAGCCGTGCTTTCGTCAGACGCAAAGCAAGCCGTATAAAAGGGCATGAAAACAGATGCGACTATAGCCCTGCATGCTCCGAAACGCCCATCTAATAGCTTAGCGTGGTAGTAAGCGACTGCGGCGCATCATAGCGCACATGCATAGCAACAAGAGGCGGGAGCATAAAAAAAGGGGTGAGGCCGAAGGGCCGGTAGCCGCTTAGCTGAGCCCGACAGAATAAGGCCTCTCACGCTGCCACAGTTGTTGTTTGCGTACAGTCAAACACAAGAAGTGGTTTCGGAGAGCCTAAAAGGACTCGTATGATCCAAACAACCGCATCCTGAGACCCAACCGAAGCGGAAAGGACTACCAGGACTATTCGAACCTGCCTGAACAGTTCTGCAACGATGAAGTCGGTTGGTGAAATTTCTTGGGATATCCTGTTGTTGATTATCAGCTCGGCCTTGCGGAGGTCCTCGGAAATAACGGATTTGTCCTTTCGCGGCGTGGCATAAACCACTGTCTGCGGTAAAAAAAAGTTGGGAAAAGGCAGGGAAAAGGCAGGAAAGAGACGGTTCAGTCGTTTCGGAGGTGGCGGCAGGGGAAGTAAATGCCGTTATAAACGTTATAAACCTACCAGGGTGGGTAGGGAAGGGTGGTAATCGTAATGGCAGCAGATATGATAGTTCTGTAAATGGCCTTGGATGGTTTCCCTTTCCCCCTTCATACTGCAACGGATCCAATATCTCGTACATCGCCCCCCCCCTGCTACACACCAGGCGCGTTGGGTTCTTGAGCGGTTCGTACTCGACCTTCCTAGTGACCGCGAAGCTGTAAAATGCGTCCATCAGCTGCCGTACATTGAACACCCTGAAGGGAGCCACAAGGGGGGAAGAGAGCAGGGGGGACGGCAGCGCGGTGGAAGAGGGGCATCTTGAGAGGATATTGGCTGATCAGTTCAAAAAACCTAATTCAAACCCTCCCAGGGTCAGCTGCTGTCGGTACTGTTGTTGGTACTGCTGTTGGTACTGCTGTTGGTACTGCTGTTGGTACTGCTGTTGGTACTGCTGTTGGTACTGCTGTTGGTACTGCTGTTGGTACTGCTGTTGGTACTGCTACGTGTCATGCGGCCCACCTCGTCATCCCCTGGCCCCTCCGGAACCCTCCAGATCCTCTCTCTTGCATTTCCCCGCCATCTCGGGAAGCACCACGGCTGCGGTTTGAAACCGGTGCCATCCACTCCACTCCACTCCACTTCTAGCACCCCTAGCTGCCACCCGTCCTTGTGTCTGTTATTAATGCACAGGACACGTGTCCTCCCCCTCCCCCTCTCAACCTCCCCGTCCCCCTCTCAACCTCCCCGTCCCCCTCTCAACCTCCCCGTCCCCCTCTCAACCTCCCCGTCCCCCTCTCAACCTCCCCATCCCCCTCTCAACCTCCCCGTCCCCCTCTCAACCTCCCCGTCCCCCTCTCAACCTCCCCGCCCCCCTCTCAACCTCCCCGTCCCCCTCTCAACCTCCCCGTCCCCCTCTCAACCTCCCCGTCCCCCTCTCAACCTCCCCATCCCCCTCTCAACCTCCCCGTCCCCCTCTCAACCTCCCCCTCTCCATCTCAACCTCCCCGTCCCCCTCTCAACCTCCCCCTCCCCCTCTCAACCTCCCCGTCCCCCTCTCAACCTCCCCGTCCCCCTCTCAACCTCCCCGTCCCCCTCTCAACCTCCCCCTCCCCATCTCAACCTCCCCCTCCCCATCTCAACCTCCCCCTCCCCCTCTCAACCTCCCCCTCCCCCTCTCAACCTCCCCGTCCCCTCCCCCCGTTGCTCACCGGTCCGCCACCACACCTCCCTCCTTCGGGCTCTCCACG